TTTGCTAATTGCTGTACAATTTATTTGCATTTTGTTCCTAACAAAACAAAATGTGAGTTGTCAATAATGAAGCCGTAGAAATATCTATATTTACAAACCACACTCGATACCAATATTGCTATGGCCCTTAAATATATAACACTATTTTGGATGTTTCGATAAAACACACTCAAGGGTGGTTAATGTGTATATAACAAATTGAAAGAGAACGGCTTCTTTGATTTGGTCACGTCTTAAGGATGTGTGTGTTCTACAATATACACCAGTAAGTACACTTAGTATTTACCCTTATCCAATGGACGGTCGACCTACGCCTGGTGGTCTGAATAAAACATTGTATGTTCAATCGAAAATCTGTGTGGGTATTCAATACAGGTTTTAGTATGAAACCATATACGTACTCTGTCACACATAAATAGAAAAATTGTATGAAAGTAAAAATATTGGTCAGTATCTTGGATTACAATTTTGACATTCATTGAACGGATTTGGCAGCCGATTGTGTTTTTCACAAAAACATCGACAAATAATGAAATGTTTGATTTGTTGGTCCAGTTCGCAGTCACCCTATTGAAAAACAGAAATCTTTTCAATAGCTTAAAGCTTTCTGTCTTTAATTGTTATGTGGTGCCAAATTTTAAGTATATTATACGTGGTCTGAAAATGGAAACTTCCCATGCGATTGTTCAATAATCATTGTTGACACCGAAAGTATATACCTAATGTCCCAACAACATTGAATAACCCGCCTGTTTATTCCAATTTGACTTTAACAAGCGTAGGTAAATTGCTTATAACAGCTGTTCAAAATCCGGAGGGTAAAATAATGGCACATGTCAGAGACAATGGGCCTAACACGTCATTTTTATTAAAAACGATTACTGAACTGTGAACATAACATTGTATGGTTGTTATTGTTTCTCGTGTTTCAATACTTCAATGCAAAGTAAAAATGAATTCTAAAACTTAATTGCACACACCTTGCGTCGTTATAGTGAAATGTATTTCTTCTTTATTTCCTATGAATACAATATTATTGATATAGTCGTTTCGTAATACAATGAATCTATATAGGTCAAAACTGGCAAATGAGAACTTGATAAAGAGGACGTCAACATGTTTTTTCTCTTAAACATACATAAGAGAACATAAGTTTATTGTTATCGTTAATCACTACGACAGTGTACTGGTTCCTGGTGGTAGCGAAGCATTGAACTATGTATCAAAGGTTTTCTACCGGAGAAACTCTTATCTACTCTAATGGTGATCATAACTTGCTTTCCATTGTTTCGAATGTTCGCCATTATATTAAAGACCTTTTAAAAATTGTTGAAATAAATACGGACTTGCTCTTTCCTACATCTGGCAGGGGAGATCATGATGATTGCCTCAAGCGGTGCAGAAACGCTAAAGCTATGGAGCACATATGATTATATATTTTAAGATTTACGATGTCCTTTATTTCGTTTTGATTTTTTTCTATTTATTTTGCTGTATTTGTTATATCAAAGTTGTGTTTAGATGTTATTTTTCGGCAATATATGATTGGCCTCTGATTTAATATAACATTTTCTAGACCTGTTACATTAACATTGTTTAAAATGATTCTCTTGTAATTTGAACATTTTCAGACGGTATATAGACGGAAACCAATATAAATGTGTATTTACTAACTTTCACATCTGGGGGTAATTTGTTTTTTAGTGTGTTTGACTGTTGAGGTTTGTTATCCGATACATGTTTACGTCTATATAGTGATAAAGAGCTGCTAGAGACTATAGTAATAGCTTTAATTGATCCTAATCACCATCCAGAGTGACATAGATTGGTCATATATTTAAATATATCTAATTGATCAATTTTCATTTTGGATACAATAAAAAGATCAGGTATTTTAAGTACGAGCTACAAATGTCTATTGTCATAAGTTATTATATACTTTTACCGTAATAAGGTATACGTATACACTACGCTATAATTGATGAATAATGGTGCTAATTGTCCCAAATGAAATCGTATATACATTTAAATATATATGCTAGTGCCTCTGCGATATCAATACACGTCTGGTCAGGACATTGGAATTAGATGATCTGGGTCACGTCCTGATAAAACTAAGTAACGTTAACACTCAAACAAAGACTGATCCGTCGAACCCAGACGCATTAGTAATGGACGAGAACATGGCTTAAGTGAGGTGGGATCTCTCGAAAAGTGGCACACTTCAGCAAAGGGGCAAAGTGGTCACTCTACATTGTACATAAATATATATATAAAGTAGTGTACGTGCATGTTATATACAACAAAACATCAGAATATCACAAATAGCAATAAACTAACAATGTTGTTTATGCACGTGAAAAAATGTAAATTATTAAATAACCAGCGGAAAAAAGTAATTACCTGGTAGATAGGATATAAGGACTGCATTTATAAAGGTGTATTGTGTAATAACACCAGCAAATATGTCGGGTGTTTGTATGGTTTTGTTAGTGTCTCCGTGACCTCTGTGTTGTCTTTTATACATGCATCTACTTCAAATTCCGATTTTGTCCATTTTGCGGTGACGTTATTAATTAAAATATTCTTTTACATGGACCAGTCATTAAGTATTATATCAATATGGGTTACCTACTCTTATCAAATATGTCTATGTTTAGGTTACCTCGCAAACGGTGTTAACTGTCGTGGCATGTAACTTGTTAAAGAATTATGATAATGTTTATGTACCATGGATATTGAGCCCATATTACCTAAAACCGTCGTGTCGTTCAACCCCTATGTTATACACATTCTATTAACTATCATTTTGGTCTATAATAGCAAGGTTAGTACAGGTATCCAATGTATTCTAACGTCTATCACGGGTCTTCACTCCTCACCTCGTAAAACCAGTGCAAAACATTATAAAAGCAACGCGTACACAAAACAACAAAAGGCATATGTCCTCTTTCATTTTTGAGTCAGGGTCAGGCGTATTCTGCTGTAAAAGTATCGATTATAAAAGTTTCAAAAGGGAGCACAACCTTCAGCCACGGCGGATTTCACCATACAGCCATACAGCCATAATTACACTGGACGAACTATAAAGGTGATTTAATTAAAATGTGTGCTTTAGAAAATAATCGTTTATCCTGTATTGATTGGCAATCCTCGTGTTCATTCATTTAAACCATCCATAATACCGAGTTAGTTATCGTTCTTCAATAACCACGGTTTTAATGTATTCATTACCGTTAGTACTCTCAAATCGTTACATTATGTACCGGGTAGCAAACCTTGTACTTGTACATGTACCTACTTTTGTATTTAATGTACTTTTGATATTTTATTCTAAAAATACATTTTAATTATTAAGCGTCACGCTTGCAGTAGTGCAAGCAGTCAAATGAACATAAACAGAACAGAATATGTCTTCAATCAGTCAACCTAAATGGCACTTTATAACCGGATCTTGATCATTTCTTTACATATTATTGTATATTCGAACAACTGGACATGTAAATTTGTTATTTAAAAGGTATTATGGTACATTTGAATATTAATCAAGTATGTTGTGTGTGTTCAATTTAATCTACGCCAATCTTGTATATACTGACACATTTTGGTGCTCACTATGTAGAATACACGTGTGGTCAGATAGTCCGTGGTCCGAGTGACGGCAATCAGTGCAGATGAATTAAACGTCGACACTTAAGCGATATACTTGAGCCCTAGACGTTTCAAGTATCACAAAGGAACAGTATTTAAGCATATTTTACGACTCATAAGTTTGATTTTATCCTATAATCGCAGGAACAGCCCTGATAAAACCCACGCACCTATTCAATGTAGATGTATGACGTTTTCTTAAGGCTTATACTGTTTAATTGGAATTAAGCAAATGACGAAGCTCACTGTATGCACAGGAACTAATACCATAGCTACATTAGTATTGATATGATTAAATTAATCTGTAAAAAGTAAGGAGAAGTGTTATATGGTGATAAAGACCGTTCAAATAATTTAGCAACTAAAACACATTGTAACCTCTTAATCTGTAACATAACTGAAAACTGAAAACTGATACCGGTAGCGTATCAAGGCCTGTTGAACCGAACAGATCGTCAAGTGAGATTAAATGTTAACAGATTCAAATACAGTATTCTATTTATGGTTTAAAAGACACGTATTGTGTACAGTATTGGTATAAAGCAGCATGCAACCATCCGTTATGTGATCATGAATTCTTCAAATTATCAGTTCAGAGTGATTCCATCAAACTCGTCACATTGGCACAATAACAAAGTTTAAGAATATATTCAACCAAAGGCAACATACCTGTACATAATATATCTCAAAGCAGGTGTGAATAAAAGATGATTCTGTGATATTATGAAGGTATAGTATTCTGATAATCAAGTCAATTCCATATACCGTGTATATATAACAAATCAAGCAGCATTATGTATATTCAGCCTAAATAAACATAGTTATGCGTACCTGTTTTACATGTACCAGTGAAATATAATACCTTACGTGGCAAATACAGTTATCTCTTTCCATATAATCATATTCACTCTACTTATTCTCTATAAATCAACGAATGTAGTATATAAAAGTCTCAAAACTAATATCAAACAATACAAATTCACATTTCATATAAACAACGAAATCAATTAACATGAAGTATGCATAGCTTTATAAACCCAACATTAACGTACAATATCTTATGGACATGGTTATATATAGAAGGCAAATTTACATTGGGTTCGTTGCATTATTCTGGCTCATGCTGAAAAATAACATACAAATACAATGCTTTAAGGACCATTCACCGTTTATGCCAGACATATACAGTAGATTTAACCAATATATAGTGTATGTCCGAAATCACGTATCTTTAAAATCGTTGGTTGTGACGCATATTGAGTTTTGTGTCATCATTTTACTATGATATCACCGAGGCTTGATTTAAAATTAATGGCAAATGATAATTTTATTTTATTTTATGTCATCAGATGACGAGTCAGCACTGTTCAACCCGAATTGTGCAAGTCATACATTGACGGAATGGATCAGGAAAAAGTGCAAGTGTGAAAATGACAGTGAGTATAACTTAATTTAACAGTGTGATTTAAATGTAAACCAAATAAAACATCCTACAAAAATACTATTTAAGGTTAAACAAACTCCCTAAAATACGGTACAGTCACCCTAAATATCAACCCGCTGATAAGTCATATATAAAGATCCGATTTAAACAATCGGAATGCAGAAACATTGTATGTAATATTAATATATTGAACTGGTATTTTATTTATCATCGGTAATATACAACATGTCTTTTGCGACTCAACCACATGCTACTAATTATCATATCATCTAAAGTGAATGTATACACCAAGCTCAGGTGGAGCTTACTTTTTCCTTTACTAGCTGTGGAGATCCATGCCATCCTTAAACCAAGATGGTTGTGGTCCGTATGCCTCTCCACATGAATCATGGTAAAAAGTTTCAGGCAATACATTTTAGCATATTGTAAATAAGAAAACAAATGCTTAGAAACCTAGAGTGGTCAATGGAATTTAGAAGATGTAACATTTCATAACATATAATGGTGTTCAGTGAGAGACATGTTATAAACATTGCCAATGAAATGTGTTATAATGTATATAACATTTCGTGCCTTCTTATAACAAAACGAAATGTTACGAAAGAGCAATTTACATAAAGTTACGTTATTAATCACAGCCACATGTCCTTTGATTTTACATTTATATAACGGTGAAATATATTACCGGCGCTTTTTACGACAATTACCAACATCTATGTAAAAGAGAAACATTATTTCTGTATGACCTAGGTATAAAGAAGAACTTACTATGTCATTTCGTAGCATTTAATCGGTCGCAAGAGAATGAAATGCAATAATGACGGAAAACTATATTAAACAAAACTTCGGCCATAATACAGACTAAGTTAACGACGCTGTGAACCATTTGAATTACTAATGTTCAGGTTCATTTTGTCAAAATAGCGTATCTTAATTCTGATGTTTAATTAGGGTCATTGAATATGACTTGTCAGTGGTTGAAAATTTGGGTCACAATATTCAAGCGGGATAGTTAAACCATATTATCTGCATGTTAGCACAATATAGTTTTTTTTATGTTTATAAATCTTAATTTGTAAAAACAATATTTTGCTTTCACTCAACAGTATATTTGCATATTTGTAAAAAACACTACTGGGATATTTGATCCAATTAATGAAGTATTGATACTTAAGAATAAGTATTGATACTTAATAATAAGTATTTATTTAATATTACGAAAGTCAACTGTTAACAAACAGATGTATAGTTTTTCCATTTTGAAATAGTAATAATGGTACAATTTATCTGCTGACTCGACGCTAGATAAATTTAATACAGAACATTCGTGGTTTTAAATCCTACACCGGTATTGAAGACAGTAGCTAGATTTGTACAGAAAATATCTTATTCAAGACTGATAACCGAACACTTGCATAAAATATGAATACAAAGCAGTGAATATTTCCCCCATGTGAAGACGATTAGGATAGATATACAGTTCCTAATCGACATGGTGGTTATTTAGCACCGTTGATAACTAATTCACTACGTCGTAAATTAGTGAACTAGGCATTCTTAATTCAGATAAACCCCGTCTGTGATTTTTAAATGACCCCATATGTTCTCTTATAATTGGCAATTGAATATTCACACAGACGCAGTGCTCTTATAGGCAAATTGATACGCAGTCTACTTCAAATTATGTCTTATTTACATTTATCAAAATAATCGGACATGAAAGGATAAAACGAGTCGGCTTTCCAGTATCATACGAGGTTCCGACATCATATATTATTTCGTTGTGTTAGCTTTGGTTACACTGATTATAGCTTTGAAAACTTATCTTTGTCGCTTTAGTTACGTATCTGAGGCGTCATAGATAGACAATGCCATTTGATGTTTGGTATTGACCCGAGCAAAGTAGCCTCATTGCTATTTCTTTATTACATTCCAACAAGTAAATGAATATCATATATTACAATGTATCAATGTATCGAAACAATTAAAACTACTCATAAAACATTAACCGGAATATTTGACAAGGTAACGCAAACTTTCAGATATTCCCATTTCTTTTTTTTTTTACCTCGTTACCAGCCTTATGCAGCTAAGGACCTTCACATATTTTATCTGCTGTATTCCTATGTAATATCGTATGAAACGACTGATAAGGGACCCTCTGTATAATCTGGTGTTTCCCTCCGTGCCCTCTTTTATGGACTCAAATCAGCCGAAAGTTATCTGCCTCAACTGCATCTCATTGAATTCCTTAGTTTCTTTTCTTTAAACTTTTCTTACTTTTGTTGATGTCTCCAAGAGATATATCATAGGACCGTAGTCACACTAGTATGAACTGATTGGGCCCCATGCTATCGTGTCAAGTTAATGAAATTCCAGTATGGTACAAACAAGTGGACCGTTTCAAACCGTTGTAAGGACAAATCCTTTAACAAAACCCAGACAATTATATATTTCAATATCAGGGAGGCTAAGCATACACGACAAAATGAAATGTTTTCAGGTCAACATATTCTCCTTACTGTTTTAATAACAACTTTATTGTCGCTTGATCTGGAAAAAGATAATCGAAAAATAAGTTTTAATAGATGCAATGTATTTTATACAGAATGTAATAATTATTGCTAATTATATGACTTTATTAATGACTATCGATATGAAACCATGCATACATATTTATATTCACAGTTATAATAGACCTGGTCGACCTGGAGGGTCAGGTCAAGAATCTCCCGACCAGACCAAAAGACTACGCCAGCGAGATGGTCACAGGGCGGGAAACCTACGTGCTAATACGGGTCGAACGTACGTATACACGTGGATAACATCTGTTACCTTAGTCTACTGAAATTCGTCTATAATCTTCCTGGCCTTGCTTTTCACAAAAAAAAAAAAAATGTTTTTGTTTTTTGGAAGTTGAAATACTTCTCATAACAACAGTCACACTATTATTAAATAAACCTAATATACTCCCAAATTGGAGATGATTACATTGGACAAGTTTAAGCAAATATAATTAGCTGTACGTTCATCGATGTAATATGAGAACATAAACCCTGCAGTATAAAATACCTTTGTTTGTACACAAATGTACACAACAATTAATCAACTACTAATGAATGTCCCGGGATGATATAACTATAAAAATATCCAGTAAACTTTTATTATTTGTATCAACTTTATTGTAATTATCAGTTCCCAACATACGTAGTAAATACAGGAATGCACTATACCGCTGACCAGTAGTCACTGCATCAATGATACACGGTCAAATATACACTGCATCATCACCTCCCATAATTATAATCTAACTGTATTCACTGTGATAACAACGGCTAGATAAACCCAGCACAGCTTACACTAATGGCTAGATTCCCGCTCTAAAATTGAGGATTTCGTTAATGTACAGCCTCGGATGATTATAATTGTGTAATTGAAAAGAGCCAATTTTATTGTTTATTCGATTGCTATTCAAACAATCATACCAGCCATTTAATAGCAGTCGATCGGTATCGCATATGCTAATAATTGCGGACACATACAATAATGCATGCATAACAACTCTCTTGAACCTAGTGTTAAATCAATATCGGTTTTTATTACCACACGGCTAGACCAATATTGACTATCAAGCCAGGCCTTTATTATCATGTTCATTAACTTATAGTTATAGCTTCCGACTTCTTAATTATTTCCATTGACATTTGCAACGTCATGGACAAATTGATTTTCCCTTAGATATTATGGACATTTACAAATAATCAATCAAACTAATATCTTTGACAATGCCGTTATAGAAAGCACACACACGTCGTTTTCCATGTCAGTCCTTTGTAAATAGATATGTATTGAATCAATATTTGCATACATGTAATAATATTGAGTGTCCCTGGGGTAACAGATTAACACACTATAACATTGTCACCATTTAACTTTACTGAATAAAGATCACACGCAACTACGAATGCAATGGCAAAAATGCTGACGTAACAATTATTATGAATTTTATTTTCATATATTGTCACCCAAGTCCGAAACATTGTTACGATTCTTCATTTCTTTTCATATTTCCATCAACGTTTAAGCAACGGTCAAGTAAAGGATTACCTCTAATGAGTTCCGAGGTTCCTAGGTCTATGTTGCTATTTATAATTCTACCATTGAGCAAATGGGGCAATGTCTTACCGATTGTTCTAGATAAAAAGCGTACATTAGTCCCATCACTAAAGAGATGTGTGCAGATGAAACATTTCCAATTAAAGGGCCATTTGTAGGTATTTTCCTTCAATCAATATAATACAATACGTCTGAATATTGTTTAAAATACTGTTACATATTCATATTCTCTGTTTTGGTCTGCAAAATGTGACAATTAATCGAAGCCTGGTGTTTAAGCTACTTATAGTGTGGTTGGAACTAATGTAGTACCAGTGGTATAAATAATCCCAATATAGACCACTATCAAGTCTATATCTTACAATTAATGTAGTACTAGTGGTATAAATAATCCCAATACAGACCACTATCAAGTCTATATCTTACAATTAATGTAGTACTAGTGGTATAAATAATCCCAATACAGACCACTATCAAGTCTATATCTTACAATTAATGTAGTACCAGTGGTATAAATAATCCCAAAACAGACCACTATCAAGTCTATATCTTACAACTAATGTAGTATCAGTGGTATAAATAATCCCAATACAGACCACTATCAAGTCTATATCTTACAACTAATGTAGTACCAGTGGTATAAATTATCCCAATATGGACCACTATCAAGTCTGCATCTTACAACTAATAAAGTACCAGTGGTATAAATAATCCCAATATGGACCACTATCAAGTCTGCATCTTACAACTAATAAAGTACCAGTGGGATAAATAATCCCAATATAGACCACTATCAAATCTATATCTTACAACTAATGTAGTGCCAGTGGTATAGACAATCCCAATACAGACCACTATCAAGTCTACATCTTACAACTAATAAAGTACCAGTGGTATAAATAATCCCAATATAGACCACTATCAAATCTATATCTTACAACTAATGTAGTGCCAGTGGTATAGACAATCCCAATACAGACCACTATCAAGTCTACATCTTACAACTAATGAAGTACCAGTGGTATAAATAATCCCAATATAGACCACTATCAAATCTATATCTTACAACTAATGTAGTGCCAGTGGTATAGACAATCCCAATACAGACCACTATCAAGTCTACAACTTACAACTAATGAAGTACCAGTGGTATAAATAATCCCAATACAGACCACTATCAAGTCTACATCTTAAAACTAATGTAGTACCAGTGGTATAAATAATCCCATACAGACCACTATCAAGTCTACATCTTACAACTAATGTAGTACCAGTGGTATAAATAATCCCAATACAGACCACTATCAAGTCTATATGTTACAACTAATGTAGTACCAGTGGTATAAATAATCCAAAATAGACCACTATCTAGTCTACATCTTACAACTAATGTAGTACCAGTGGTATAAATAATCCCAATACAGACCACTATCAAGTCTATATCTTACAACTAATGTAGTAGCAGTGGTATAAATAATTCCAAAATAGACCACTATCGAGTCTACATCTTACAACGGATGTAGTACCAGTGGTATAAATAATACCAATATGGACCACTATCAAATCTTTATCTTACAACCCGGATAACAATTATCGGTCTGTATGATATGTGCGTTATCGTTTTTAGATTATCATTCCACAAGCCACTTCGGTAATGTTAACGTATCTCACACACCCCATTCAAGTAGCATACATTATTTGTTCAGGTCATAAACTTGACGGACTCCAGCTGAATGAAGTGAAATGTAAACTTATATGTCAATAACATATCTTATAGGTAGTAGATTGTGTGGTTATACGGCGTCCGTCTTCCCAATGTTGATTTAGACGAAAGGCGACACTTACATGTATGTGTCAGACATAGGCAGTGAAATGATTTTATAACATGCAAGTGCACAACTGTCCAAGAAAGAACCGTCATCAACAGGGACAGATATTATGTGTGAACATTGAAAGAGTTGTCAAGTTAAATATTACGGTCTTCCCTGGACTGTTTTTAATAAAATGTGTGACAGGGCGACTTAATATAGCTGATATTTTAATTAAAGTTGAATGTAGGCAAACTTACCAGAGAAAATAAATAGTTCACAATTCTGTTTCAGGTTGTAATGACGGGAAATTTAACTACACATCACTACTCAATAACCTTGCAGAAGTAAATCCAGAACTGAATGGTAAGTGGACTGTCACATGATACTACAGTATATGGTTTACTGTCACGTGACACAACGGTATGGTTAACTGTCACATGATACTACGGTGTGGTTTACTGGCACGTGATACTACGTACAGTATGGTTAACTGTCAGGTGATACAATGGTATGGTTTTCTGTCACGTGATACCACTGTATGGTTAACTGTCACGTAATACTACGGTTTAGTTTACTGTCACATGATGCTACGGTATAGTTTACTGCCACGTTTGCACATGATACCACGGTATATTATACTATCACGTTTGCACATGATGCTACGGTATAGTTTACTGCAACGTTTGCACATGATGCTACGGTATAGGTTACTTCCACGTTTGCACATGCTACCACGGTATATTTTACTGCCACTTTTGCACATGATGCTACGGTATAGTTTACTGCCACGTTTGCACCGGTATATTTTACTATCACGTTTTCACATAATACTACGGTATAGTTTACTGCCACATGATGCTACGGTATAGTTTACTGCCAAGTTTGCACATGGTACCACGGTATATTTTACTATCACGTTTGCACGTGATGCTACAGTATAGTTTACAGCCACGTTTGCACATGATACCACGGTATATTATACTATCACGTTTGCAAATGATGCTACGGTATAGTTTACTGCAACGTTTGCACATGATGCTACGGTATAGGTTACTTCCACGTTTGCCCATGCTACCACGGTATATTTTACTGCCACTTTTGCACATGATACCACGGTATATTTTACTATCACGTTTTCACATAATACTACGGTATAGTTTACTGCCACATGATGCTACGGTATAGTTTACTGCCAAGTTTGCACATGGTACCACGGTATATTTTACTATCACGTTTGCACATGATACTACGGTATAAGTCACTGTCACGTGATACTACGATATAGTTTACTGTCACGTTTTCACATGATACCACGGTATAGATTACTTCCACGTTTGCACATGATACTACGGTATAGTTCTCTGTCACGTGATACTACGATATAGTTTACTGCCAAGTTTGCACATGATACCACGGTATATTTTACTAGCACGTTTGCAATGGTTAACTGTCACGTAATACTACGGTTTAGTTTACTGTCACATGATGCTACGGTATAGTTTACTCCCACGTTTGCACATGATACCACGGTATATTATACTATCACGTTTGCACATGATGCTACGGTATAGTTTACTGCCAAGTTTGCACATGGTACCACGGTATATTTTACTATCACGTTTGCACATGCTACCACGGTATATTTTACTGCCACTTTTGCACATGATACCACGGTATATTTTACTATCACGTTTGCACGTGATGCTACAGTATAGTTTACAGCCACGTTTGCACATGATACCCCGGTATATTATACTATCACGTTTGCACATGATGCTGCGGTATAGTTTACTGCAACGTTTGCACATGATGCTACGGTATAGGTTACTTCCACGTTTGCACATGCTACCACGGTATATTTTACTGCCACTTTTGCACATGATGCTACGGTATAGTTTACTGCCAAGTTTGCACATGGTACCACGGTATATTTTACTATCACGTTTGCACGTGATGCTACAGTATAGTTTACAGCCACGTTTGCACATGATACCCCGGTATATTATACTATCACGTTTGCACATGATGCTGCGGTATAGTTTACTGCAACGTTTGCACATGATGCTACGGTATAGGTTACTTCCACGTTTGCCCATGCTACCACGGTATATTTTACTGCCACTTTTGCACATGATGCTACGGTCTAGTTTACTGCCACGTTTGCACATGATACCCCGGTATATTTTACTATCACGTTTTCACATAATACTACGGTATAGTTTACTGCCACATGATGCTACGGTATAGTTTACTGCCACGTTTGCACATGATCCCACGGTATATTTTACTATCACGTTTTCACATAATACTACGGTATAGTTTACTGCCACATGATGCTACGGTATAGTTTACTGCCAAGTTTGCACATGGTACCACGGTATATTTTACTATCACGTTTGCACATGATACTACGGTATAAGTCACTGTCACGTGATACTACGATATAGTTTACTGTCACGTTTTCACATGATAGTACGGTATAGTTCACTGTCACATGATGCTACGGTATAGTTTACTGCCACGTTTGCACATGATCCCACGGTATATTTTACTATCACGTTTTCACATAATACTACGGTATAGTTTACTGCCACATGATGCTACGGTATAGTTTACTGCCAAGTTTGCACATGATACCACGGTTTATTTTACTATCACGTTTGCACATGATGCTACGGTATAGTTTACTTCCACGTTTGCACATGTTACTACGGTATAGTTTACTGTCACGTGATACTACGGTATAGTTTACTGTCACGTTTTCACATGATACTACGGTATAGTTCACTGTCACATGATGCTACGGTATAGTTTACTGCCACGTTTGCACATGATACCACGGTATATTTTACTATCACGTTTGCACATGATGCTACGGTATAGTTTACTTCCACGTTTGCACATGCTACTACGGTATAGTTCACTGTCACGTGATACTACGATATTGTTTACTTCCACGTTTTCACATGATACTACAGTATAAAGTTAGGCGTCACAATCTAGAGCATGCGCACAACACTTACACAATATATAGGAATGATTGCTGAGGCGACACATATCCCTTTGTTTGACATAACAATAAACTAGTTCCAATCTTTATTCGGTAAACAAACCACTACTAGTAAACTAACGCGTTACAAAAATATGGTACATATAATTCAAAGAGTTGTGTGCTGATTGCTACTAGGAACTTGTTAGACCATGCACATTAACTGTATAATGAAATGAAGTATTGATATACTGCTAACGTAATCTATAAGACCAATAAGATAAATTTCTTAACAAACACGAATAGGCACTTACTTAACAAACACGAATAGGCACTTAGAATGGTCGCTCTCGCGATTTGTTTCCTTCGTAACGTTGTCCGACAATTCTCAAGCAGCTTACCAATCAACACAATCTGTATCAACAGGTAAAGGTGCCGTTCAAGCATGTCATTAGTGAAGTTCACATTACAATTACGTAAATGTAGTAAATCTTGTAAATCAAATGCATGTCACACTAAAACGTCATTGTAGATAACGTTTTTGTTTCAGTTAAGCTGTCAAGTATGTCCAGACCCACGACGAGAACGAGTAAAAATAAGAAACAGAAACCTCAAGTTAAGCAGATAAAGACAGCGCGGCAAGAGTCCTCACAGGGAAAGAGGCCGGGGAGCAGCGAGAAACCGAAAAAATCAGCCAAATAAAAGTGCCGCTTCCACGACTCTGCACGGCGGTTACACAATAGAATTTAGTTGGATCGAGGGCGCCATAGATATTTTGTTAATATAAATCATAGATCGCACTTTCAAAACCTATTTCTGAACAATGACTGTCGAAGTGTTTGAAAACACAGTAGTCATTAGAATTTCTAACCATGCGTACCATGACATATATGCCTTATTTTGTATGTAAATACATATATATTCAGTAAATGTTTGTATTCGCCAACATAAAATAACAAGAAGATATATGTATGTGTTCTCTGATCCGTCCTTCATAAAATTATTCTATACATATAGGGGGTTATTACTGTATATACATATCAAGTCATATCTTGTATTGCATTGTTTAAATCATAATAAAAATATTTCTGCTGAAATGTTTTGCAATTTTTAAGGACAGAAAACATACTGTTTTCCTTTTTTATTTCCTTTAGCAATTCGTTCCTCTTTTTTACATACCTCCTACTTCATACGTTAGCAAAGGGACCGTGCAGATGCTCTAAACAAGATATAATTACAAAATAGATCACCAAGTGTCAAAGGAAAATGCGAACCCGGTTTTGTTAAGTACACCGTGTGTGATGAAGAGGCATATATTGGTACCTAGAGTATTATGAGAAAACAACGGAGAGATTCAACGACAGGAACATATCCAGCCTTGATGGCGGGCAATGATATTTTCGCAATTTAGCGCTGTATAGTGTTTAACATTTTATACAAAATTCAATATGAAAATGTATGTTACAGAATTATAATGTTGTTTATTCATTTTCAACATTTAAATTAAACATGGAATACATGATGATCATTTTTCTGCGAGGCAAACTCTGTATAAATGAGTTTGAAAACAAAACAAAAAGCTTCACGATATCTCTTTATCGTGGAAATCAAGGGAGAAATTCGGAGAAAGCTACTGAATCCACCGTGGGCAGGATAAGCCAGGATGTTCCTATCAAGAAAGGGAAGTTCACGATGGGAAATATAAATAATCCTGCTTATCGTAGAGCTTAGTAGTATAATAGTTAGCCGTTTCTGCTGTTAGTGTAGATCAAAGTAAGCGCCCAAGTAGACGTGTCATTGATTTTAAACTCTTCAACACATTTAGCCCGATTTGAAAGCATGCCAAATAGGTCAGAAGAGGGGGCACGCACAGCTTGATTCCATAGGAATGCGTAAAGTCTGCTTGGAAATAGTTCAACTTAACTCAGCAGTGTCTTTGGACATTGGCTGTACTTTCAATAAAACGTTGCGTGTCAATGTTATCTCATTTGACTTGGATCTGCCATGGCAACGTCTAGACGCAAGGTTTGTCTATTTCAGAAGTTGGTGATACAACATGTAAAGATATTGCACAATCAAATATGTGGCCATGTATCTATATTTGACAGCATAAAAAGATTAACGTAAATTGTGTTCCTTTAAAAAGTGACATATGTAAGAAAATAAGCGTGAAACAATCTTTGACGAAAAATTGCTAATAATATCTATTAATATGATAATAAATGTAATAAATATTTTCAACACACGTAGGTCAAACAATACATATTCAATCGTCAATCATTTTTATTCAAAAAGCAGCAATACAAATGTTTATATATTGCACTTCTGTGTAGGCGAATTTCAATATTGCGTGTATATTTGTATAGATATCAATATTTCTGTTATTACAATGCTCACTCCAATAAAGATTTGTTAACGATCATGAGGCTTCTATTGAAAAATTAAGTTCTGAGGAACAAATAGAAACTAAAGCATGTATACAAACAAGAGGCCCAATGGGCCTGCATCGCTCACCTGGTAAAAAAAATCACACTTGTAACCTTAAAAGTGATCTAAAATAAAGCTACAGGCAAAATATCAGTATTTATGATTAAAATTCGTTCAAAAGACCCTGTTATTTTTTTTAAAAACATTTCACCCCTGTGATTGAAAGTCGAACAAAGTCATTATGTTGAACACATTGTATAGCCTTTCATCTCAGGATGCAACTTGCAAAGTATAAACATCCTGGGACCCATGGTTATTCATAAGAGGTTGTTTAAAGATTTTAAACAAATTTGACCCCTGTGACCTTGAATATAAGTCAAAGTCATTCACTTTAACAAACATAGTAGTCTTTGATCCCAGCATATGCTACTAACTAAATATCAACATCCTGAGCCTTTTGGTCATTCAGAACAAGTTGTTAAAATATTTTAAACATATTTGCTCCTTGTGACCTTGAATGATTGTATGATTCAAGGTCATACATTTAAACAAACTTGGTAGCCTTTGATCCTAGTATGCTACTAGGCATGACTAAATATCATCACCCAGGGCATTTTGGTTATTGAGAAGAAGTTGTTTAAAGTTTTAACATATTTGACCCCTGTGACCTTGAATATGGGTGAAGGTCATTCATTTGAACAAACTTTGTAGCCCTTCATCTCAGCATGCTACTGGCCAAATATCATCACCCTGGGCATTTTGGTTATTGAGAAGAAGTTGTTTAAAGTTTTAACATATTTGACCCCTGTGACCTTGAAAATAGGTGAAGGTCATTCATTTGAACAAACTTTGTAGCCCTTCATCTCAGCATGCTACTGGCCAAAGATCATTACCCTGGGCATTTTGGTTATTCAGAAGAAGTTATTTAAAGTTTTTTTAAGACAACTGACCCCTGTGACCTTGAATATAATTGAAGGTCATTCATTTAAACAAACTTGGTAGCCCTTCAACCTAGCATGCTACTGACCAAATATCATCTCCCTGGGCAGTTTGGTTACTGAGAAGAAGTTGTTTAAAGTTTTTAACATATTTGACCCCTGTGACCTTGAATATGGGTGAAGGTCATTCATTTGAACAAACTTTGTAGCCCTTCATCTCAGCATGCTACTGGCCAAATATCATTACCCTGGTCATTTTGGTTATTGAGAAGTTAAAAGTTTTTAACATATTTGACCCCTGTGACCTTGAAAATAGATGAAGGTCATTTATTTGAACAAACTTGGTAGCCCTTCATCCCAGTTTGCTTCTGGCTAAATATCATCACCCTAGGCCTATCGGTTATTAAGAAGAAGTCGTTTAAAGTAAAATATTGACGCCGGACGACGGACGGACGGACTTCGTGCCAGGTGAGCTAAAAACACATAAGTACATGTATGTAACAACGCAATCTCAAGGTTCCAGAGTATAATCTAAAATGAGCCCTCAACTCGGGACAGGCACGTGGATGTACAAATATGGACTAGGGAGGAAATATGCTGATAATTAAATAAGCATTATATCACATAAACATAACAAACATAATTTAATACTTTTTACTATGAAAGAAATGTCATAAATAACATTTTACTTTAACCCAAAATCAAACGTTTCATTGAATTACAATATGTAAATAAGTAAGAAGCATGCAACCTGACCATTTAAACACATCACAGATACAAACTAATTGTCATAAACATTCATTGTTATAAAAACAAAAACAGAATTTGTCGACTTTCTTTTGATGAGAATGAGTATACCTAAAATAATAATGCCCTCTTTTTTAAGACAAAGACATACTAATTACTCTGCGGACAAGTATATATATTGAGGTCTATAATCACTTAAATATGTATGCTTCTGTTCCTGGTTGTCTCCATTTTAACTCCTAATTATCACTAGTTGAATGTCAGTACCTGTCATGGATTGATAGTCACTCAGTATCCAAACCCTCCTGGATACATATTAGCGCAATCTAATTAAAATTATATCTTCACATCGCTCCCGTTTACTGATATGTCGCGTTGAAGATCTAACAACATCCCGTAGAGGGTCATGTTCAGGCGACCTTTGCATTAACCAATCAGATGAGAGCTTACGCATTTCTGTAAGTGATGATGTAATGATTTCGGAACACACTTGCTATGATAAAAGACCGAGAGGTGTCAAATGAGCATCGAAAATGGCGGCGCCCATGACACCACGCCGTGTCTATCTACAAGACAACGTTTGTACAATTTGTGGATTTTGCTTTGAAATAAGAGAGACTTCCTCTTCTGGTTAAGTTGTCGTTAAAAAGTTTAACAACCTGAAACTAAAATTAACCAATGACAGGCTTCGCAATATTCAAACTATCACTGGACCAGACGAAAAAGTGGATTTTGGGCTACGAGGTGTCTGCATTAAATGCTACAGGTCCTGCTTTCTGATTGGTTGAAAGAAAGAGTTATGTCGCGTTTTGATTGGCTTGTTATAAATACGATAATGTATTCATGTTGACCTCTGATGTGACCCTCTATGGGATGTTGTTAGATCTTCAACGCGACATATCAGTAAACAGGAGCGATGTGAAGATATAATTTTAATTAGATTGATATTAGCGTATACGCTTCGCAAGCAATGCTTGGCGGTTTATACATTACGGACATAACAAATTAACAGCAGTGCGCCGGTAACCAGGGAAAGCAATCACATGTGGAGGCAGGTCATATGCAGAATAACAACAGAATTTAGCCTATATTAAGAAAGCTATATAAAAGGATTATTTCATTTCAACGGATGTTGTATTTAAGTCCTCCATTTTTGTAATATTAAATTGTATAAAAATTTCATTTAAGATAAACAATGATGTCCATGTTTGAAGTTGATTCATTTGAAAAAAGGACAGAAATCAGGGTAAAATATATTATCTTGGAAGAAATATCGTTTGCATTTTATGTTGTTGATGTGGCAATGAAAATAAAAATAATAACATATTGGGAACACAGGTTGTTCATATTCAAAAACAACACTACCGAACAACCTGTTTCGACAAAACAAAATAATATCTTAAACTCGCGTAATGATTTTGAGTTGGGTGGTTTGGCGCAACTGGCCCACTTAATCAAACAACAGTTAGAATCAAGAAACCAGATGGGTTTCATAGTCCAAGGTATAATAATGTTTACCGATAACGTGGAGTAGCTGAGGATCATTAAACAACATTATTATATTTTAATACTACTATGATTGCTGTCTTTCCGATCGTTTGAAGGTCGAATGAGTAGTTAACATGTTTCAACTGATACACAAACATAGAAAGAGTAGTATACCTCATGTTATCCCAACCCCAAATATATGTTATAGACATTCACAACAATCCAGACTAAAATAAAATGACCGTTTATTTGGTTACTTACCAAATAATTTTATCAGTACATATCAAAAACACATGTTCATGAGGTTTTTGTAACTGGCCTCTATGTCCATTATATTATGATAACAAATAAATTGTCAGAAAAAAGCCTTCTGAAATCTGAGATCAGAGATATATAGTATTATAATACAGTATACCTATATATAAGTACTATATATACAAGTTTTATCAAGTTGTCATGAACTGTGGTTCTGTGGGAATCAATTTATCAACATCAAACATAGCACATGTAACAAAAAATAAATAAAAATCTAGAATTTTCAACGAGAATTAAGTACAGGTAAATAAAAGTACGAGTATCTCTCAAGCTGTATTGCTGTGCACTGTATGGTTATCTAAAAGAATCTGGTATACACAGGTGAAGTTTGAAGTCTACTATTCGCAACTAAATGAATATGTTGAAAAGCATGGTATACATCATACCATGTTTTAGTGGACATCATACCATGTTTTAGTGAGTCAAGAAAGGCATCTCCAAAAACATAAAACTCTTTTGCATAGAGCATTATAAAAAACGTATAAGTGGTGCATACTATTTCTTATCCTTTCTACATAGAAATATATCTTTAGTTTCACACACGTTGTTAATGATTGATTCTAATGTCCACTTACATTCGAGCACCGAAAAGGAATGTCAATAATGAAATGTTGAATTGGAAAATGGGAAAACTATTTTTCTTGTCATGGTTATAATACCTCATTATATATATATGTAATTAGTAACGAGTACAATAATCATATTTTAACATCAATAACATTTGTCTCGGCTAAAATGGCTACAATAAGAAATATGACATACAACACTATAAGAATGATGCCGTACATACGAGACATTTTAAATTTGGACAGTGGAACAATAGTAAGCGATACCACAAGGCTAAGCATAAGGAATGCAGCTAACACAACCTCCTCGAATGTTATCTGGAGCTGAAATGGATAACGATAATCCGCAGTTAGATTTTGGTAACGTCGTGAGTGCTGACAAATCTCGAACTATTATCTTGCAATAAAATCACATATTTGTTAGAGGTTATTGGACGTTAAGATGTTTGACGAGTGAACAGATTTAGTTATCCGCCTTAGCATACTGAACTAGACTTTTAGAGATATGTCGAAAATAACTATGCCGTTGGCTATATTTTAAGTTACAAAAAAGGTAACAATTAGTAATCAAACTTGAATTAGTAATCAAACTTGAATTATCAGTTCGTTAACTCGATATTTAACTTACCTTATACGTTCCTCCATTTTTAATCGTTGCTACGGTGAATGGTATTCCTATGCCCAGTAATAAATCTTTGGAACGATAAGGAACCAAACTGAATTTATTATACAAACAAATTACATTTCTTATCTTAAAAGTATATACTCATTCAAACTAATGATCACGTTCATTTGACAGAATCCGATAAAGGTTCTATGCTAATTTTTGACACCTGAACAGAATCCATTTATTAGACAGTGTCCTGATTTGAATCAACATTGCTCAATAAAAGATCTATCACGATTTAGCTAAAGTGTCAACACAACCTAACTGACTATTTGGAATACGATTCATCAGTTTGGTATGAATAATAAAGACTAACACAAACAGGAATTGAAAATTATTTTGCGAGCTTGCGAACCGCTGAAAATAACTCACTAAGCGTCAGTGGGCCGTATCAAGTAAAGTCAACTGTCAAAAATCATAGAGACAATTGCACTCTTAAAGTGCAGGCAGACATGGGGACGAGTAATATGTTTACATATTCCACCCCTTATTGGATGTTAAAATTGGGTCATAATGATGACTCAGCTGATGGGGGCCCCTTCGTCTCTGTTCATCGAATCCCCTTCCCTCCTAACCAAGATGGATATTGCAAGTGTCCTCCCTTTCACGCACTTTTGAGTTGTTCCGGTCTATGAAGTGGCTGTGTGTGTTAGCATGACCTGTAATAGCCAATTTATTGTATTGTCTCTCCGATGTTTTCCTTCTATTCCTAGTGTTTTTAGTTCCTGTTTGTTTTAAAACAAAGTTAGTCTTTAAAACTTAATTCAAACTCAAAAGCATCGATGAAGTTGTGTCAAAACACGACCAAGGAACTGTAAAGAAACTGGAGGTGGTGGTGTTGGGAAGGAGGGTAGAAAACCTCAGTTTTTGAAATGTTCATACTGTACCTACCTGGATCTTAAGCATCGCCAATGTCCCGAGATCACCACCACCAATGCCTAACATCGCCTACCGAACATACCCGACAAACAGGAATTATCAGTAAACCAAATTTGCGCACACCAGATTATTTCGATTGAAAGGGCAACAATACGACACAAAACGAAATTGACTATGATAAAGACCATTAAACTTGCCCAGTCTTCACCAACGTGCATATTTTGAAACCCTGTCTTTTAATTTAATCCAACAGCAATGGCATCAACAATTGTAGCACGTAAACAGGACAAGGAAGGGTGTTATGTCAAACTGTAAAACCTAGTAGGAAGCCACCTGCATTGGTCGTGTCGTAAGAAAAGACCGAGGTGAGCGTCTGATGTTAAAAGTAGTGTTCTTAATGTCAAATTATGGAGGGCATGTATGATCAACTTTGTCGATAAATGTCTTGGTATTTACACACAACACCACAACCTTACATTTGAAAATGAAATTGAAGGTGTTGGTAAGGTCCTCGTTACTTGTCCCGATAAGCTCTTTGATGAATTCAGCCTCACTCGCAATGACAAAGAGACATTCTACCGTCATGTTCAACAGCTGCCCCAGAGGAGAATCTCTGCTGCTACGTGTCCTTTCCTGTCGATCTGTGTCATCAGATTGATATTAGTCCTGGCCTTCTATCACGCCGAGTGTCAATCTCTCCCGCTCTATGACTCAATGTTTGGGTAGTGAGAAAATATCATTTTCCACATTTATGCAACGTCTGTTTTCAATTGCAAGACCTGTACCACTGACTGAATCTAACTACTCTATGTGTTCATAGAACTTACCAGTTGTCAAGGTACTGGGGAATGAAATATTGGTACTCTTATCATAGAGTTTGACTGAATACCGCAATAACTTTGGCTAGGACCCGAGGAGCTGACCTCCGGTCAACTGACATTGCTCGAAAATGGTAACGCTTGTCTGCAATACAAAATCGCAGGTAATGACTGAATTGAAGATGAAACGACGTAAATGAAGGTAAACAACTGTACGGTCCAGAATAATTGTCCAACTGCTCCGGTGGAGTGCCCTCATGATAATCTGATGCATATCCAACTGGCGATGTTTCTTCCAAGATAAAGATTGGGCAAAAATTACCGTCTAGTGTTTGAAACTAAACAATAGCGCTCTTTGTTTAACTAGCTTGTTGAGTAAATTTGACACCTTGACTGCTGACCATAATGTCAGTGTCTTTTGTAACGGATATGAACTCCAGTCTTAATCCTTCCTTTGCTACCCGAAGAAAACAACGATGTGACGTTAGTTAAATTGAAATAAAATTGAGTAGAATGAGTGCCCCTACCTCGTGATATTGATAAAGAAAAGTTACAAACTCTGAGCGAAATTTAACCTCCAGGGAAAAATTCTAACAATTGTAACATGACAACACGGGAAGAAAATGTGGAGGGCTTATAGAAACCTGACGAGACTGATTCCTAGAGGGCAATGAAAATTAACCCTCCTCCACCCATTGAACTTCTAAACCACTCCTGAACATCCCTTACACAAGATGTTGCGTTTAAAGAACAACCAATAGTTCAACTTAAATGTACGTGAACCTGTAACAAGTAATGTTATGAAGTCTTTTTCGTCGCTTTACAATATGTAGTGCACCACAATGGAGTTCAAAACAACGTGACGTAACAACCGACAGTGTACGTAGTAACAACTGTTGACAATCATGGATGTCTTGTGTAGCAATGCACTTGATATCCATAGTCAATGGCATTAGCATTGCATCTCAAACGCACAAAGGAATTTGTTCTGCAAGAAAAGGCAAATTGCTTTCTGTCCTTATTTATCAATGACCTCGCGATGTATCTGATGTATTAAAAAGCAGTAATCTTCATACAATTTCAAATCACGTCCGTATGTATGTCGTTGAAAAATAAAGAGATAGATCTATACAAAAGACATCATGTATATGTTAATTTCGTGTCTTTTCGTGTAATGCATATTGCTTTATACTAGAAGACTGCTGGTTTTACATGGTAACTATTTGCATTGGCCCCTGCATTAGAGGAATTGCATAAGCATGGTGATGTAATTTGTTTCCGTTTGCTTTGTCTTTCAGGTAAGTACCAGTTGATATACCCATTGTCCTTTCTGAATGCAATACTTTATAATCCACTGTCCTTTTTTAAACTTATTGTTGATACATGAAATATCTTTTCTGAAACTAAGTCCTGTTATATCCATTGTCTTTTCTAGATGCAATACGTGACATTCCTATTGTCTTTTCTGCAAGTAGCAATTGGTATACCAAATGGCTTTGCTGAAACTTACAGTTGATAGATGCAATATGTTTTATTACATTCTTCCTGTTGTGGTTGAGATGTTACGTATTTAATATCGCACAGATGGTCATCCTTCATACAATGTAGCTCTTTAGTATTGAATGTTGACCTCTCAAATCCAGCGTGGTTTAATTTTGCTCAAATCATACTTATTTCCCTTTTTGTGATCGATATTTCTTTGAATATCCTATAAAACAGTGGTAGAAACGTTACATTAGGTTCGGACTGTTTCAACAACTATGATTTTCATAATAATATAAATGTACATAGGTTATTTTATGTTTGTGAAAGGATACTAAAGAGTGGTCCACCAAAACATGCCGATATCCCCATTCTAGGATAGCCTTGTCTGGCCATAACAGTGTCAGCTATCAGGTCTGTTGACAAACAAGCATGGAGTTAGTCAATATATTTTCATGCTTCAGCCTATCTTATGGTCAGTAAATATGTAATTTACAGTCAGAAGAATGATATTTTATCAAAAGCAACTCACCTGAACTACAGTTCTTATATTCTTTCAGAAAAAATGAAATCTAAAAGAAGTTACCTTAAGAGCAAAGAAATGAACGAGTGACCACGTTTATTTTATGAAAATAGTGTTTATAGTTTCCGAATGCTTACCGCCAATACTATTTCCCCAGGCAAGTAAGGTAAGACCTAAGATTGCATTGCTGATGTTGAGTACAATTCCAAAAGTCTGAAATACAACAAAGGGTTATTGCAGGTCAAAGTTAAAACTGCAAGCACTTTCTATCTTTCAAATAAAGAAATATTGCCTCAAGTAAGATGTACATATAATACAATATGAAGCATCATCTCTAACGAACAGTTTAATGAGAGAGAGAAAATACCGGGTGAACATTTCCCAATATATAGTATTGTTATAAAAAATACCTGAAGAATGTTGACAATTTCGTTGGCTATGGAATAAATCCATATACATGCTACAAGGAACCCAAGGTAAGCAAAGACCTGAAATGAATGAATGAAAATCAAGTAAGCTGTAAGACCGTCTGTATGAAATGCTGTAAATTCTGTAATTTTTGACATTCGTGAAACCAATTATTCTTTAAAATAATTTTCCAGTCTAAGCATTGATTTATTTTCATTTGTTAATCATTGAAAACTGTTCATTTGCTTAAGTAAAATAAACTAACTGCTCATTTTACTCCCTATCTTATTCTTTAACCCTTTCACCCATATGTAACTTTAGTAGACTCTACCATGCATTGATTTGGATGAGTCCATTATGGTCTACAGTGGTGAAAGGGTTAAATTATGAATCATAAATATCCTTAGCAAAGTATAACTTATTGTTAATTATCAGAAAATCACATGTAATGGCCTACTTCTATCAGAATTTAATTGGTTTTTTTTAGTCAGTAAATAAAACCTAGCTAGTGATTATAACTCAGTAACTTAAATATCTCTATTATAACACCTGAAATAACCTATTCTCTTTGATTCCTGAAATATCCATAGAAAAATATTCATGGGGCCAGCAATGTTAGTCTGCTTTTCCTTCGTAATTTTTTTTTTTTTTTTAAAGTAACATTTTGACCTCAACGCACATCCTTTTCACAGTCCTAAATTTCAGCATAATTTGAACAAACTGATCATTATATTGCATGCCTAGAGAGTATGTAAAAGACATAGCTGACTGAACAGCCATAGCAGGACCAGGCTATATAAACTACACTAAACACAAGGCTAAAATAGTGATAGTGATAGGCAGAGGGAAATACTTTACTTAGAAAAAGAATGATAGCTGTTTACATATATGATTACAGGTTACATCCATTTTATCTTCTTACACTATCATAAATTAAAGAACTTTAAATATACACCAGTACACCATGCAAAGTATGAATTTAAATGATTTATATACCAATGTGTCCAGTTGTGAGGAAATGATATAAGATTGAAATTAACTCCCATACAATACCATTTATTACAAAATACATGCTACACATAACCCTGACAGGGCTGTATACGTAATCATGCTGCTTGTATAGGAAACATGTTATGTATTACCAGTGCTCTGACATATTAATAGAGTTGAGAAAAATTTCAAAGCATGATTTACCAAGTTTACAGTATATACACTTTTATCCCTAAAAGTCGTCGGTCTATCACTCTTGGTTCTGAAATTTAACAAACCTGTAAGCACATTTCAAGCCATGCTAAGTTGAGAATAATAAATGTCTAAAGATAAATAATGGACCTTATGAAGATGTTCACTTATTTCTTATCCCAGTTACACATGACATGGGGAATGTTTATTAAATTTCAGCAAGTATGAGTACTTTTTAAGTAAAAAAATATATGACAGAAAATTGGACAGATGGCTGATGTAGTTTCCTAGCAAGGTTAAATTCAGGAGAAAAACAACATGATCATTTCCCGAGCAGAGATCTAACAGAGTTGTCACCCTTGTACACTCAAGGTATCTAAGGTAGAAATGCTAACAAATTTAAAAGGCAATAATTATTTTTAGTTAACACAGCTAACCATGCATGATAATTTGCATTAAATTCACTGCATTAGTAATAATATTGTTAACATAAATGAAATATCACAACATGATGTACAAAACTTCCAACTTAAAAAAAAATCCACATAGATAAACATCTATTTTAAGAAATGTCTGCTATTATACATGTGAGCAATATCAAATTAATATTTCTATGGTTTACATTGGCAGATGACATATGGTAATTTAATGTATGCATAATATGTTGACATAATTATGTTAACATATACACACAATAAACTACTATACATGTGTAACAGGAGAAGAAAAATGCACGGCCAGACCAGGGTTCGAACCCGGGACCCTCCAAACTCTATAAGGACGCTCTACCAATTGAGCTACCTGGTCGCCGATGATTGACGAACCTGTCCAGTTCCACTACACATGTATCACCAGATAATGCCATATGTGATATTGGAATACCTACAATTGTTCTTTATATGTATAATTTATTGGTTGCATGATGTTGTTAATGTTGTTCATGATTATCTGTACCTATGTCTGATTTGATTCCCAAAAACTTTAACTGAACAACAATGGCGGACAAAATGACGTTGTGATAAAGTAATGATGTGACATTGATCACAATAGGACAAAGTGTTCAGGATTCACTAGTGTTATGTGATAAAATAATAAATAATGATAAAAATACATACTGCGTGATATTTTGGCTGTACATCATTCTTTGTAGTGAGTAGTACAAGAATGGACAGGCCAGCCCCTATGATGAGGCTGAGCACCCACAGGGGGAATGTGCCTCCGATGGTTTCAAATCCAACTGTTAGAGTAGAAAGAAATAATTACACAACCGTATAACATACAGAATCAGAAAGTAGTACTGGGGACAATTTACTGTCTATACGAAAACACTACAGTCATAGTTTGTTCATTACATACCTTTCAAGAAATCATTTCAATATTTCTGCTGTTAATCATAGCAGAAATAAGGAATCCATTAGTGTCCAATATATACTAATATAAGCCAGTTTTTCAGTCTGAATTTGAATGTGTCTTCTTAAACAATGATAATAAAATAAAATTTTGAATTACCTTTGTAGATGATTGGTATTTTTATAGGATTAATGAAAAATATAGTATTTTTATAGGATTAATGGAAAATACAGTATTTTATATGATTAACGGAAAATACAAACAATTGCCTTCATGTTAAATCATAAATTCAACAAAAGCAACGAGGAATATCAAAACCACGCCATAAGTGACACTCCCTCTCATATAAAGGACACTATGATAGGGAACTTTCAATGCTTAATGGTCTTCTTTGTATTACAAAGCAATAATGTATCGATATTTCTACCTACAGCCAGTGGTAGAGGAATAGAGGGAACGGTAAGTAACGTAGGCATACTAGATACATATATGGTCATGGTGAAATAATGCCAATGGCAAAGTGACTGCCGTGCCGACCCTCCTCTTACTAAAGTCACTGTAACATAATTTTCCCTACTACATGTAGTTCAGAACAATGTTGTGATGAAAAATCAAATGTTAAGGTGTGTTTGACATTTGACATTTGGGCTACCTACAAATAATGATACATCACCGTCCTGACTCTCCTTATCAACAGACCTTGCATACATCAGGAAGACTTGCCTTTTGTAGCCAGGGAGCTAAATAACAACCCAGTAAAACACTGTAGTGAGTTGAGGAGTTGGTTCCACTTGTGTTTGTCTTCCTCTTTGTCTACTACCGGTACAGTAATGATGAGGAGGAACATCAGAGGGGCCTGCAGTTATAGGACGAATATGATAAGGATCAACTTATTTACCAAAAAACTGATACAAACAATAAACAAGGTTACCGCGAGCGGTATATAATACGCCCGTCACACATTGAATGAGCAGTTGTTTGTATGATTGAAATATATGAAGTATTTGTGAGTAATTGATATTAAAAGAGAAATCATTCAACATAACTGGTAGATCAATGAGTGCAATACAACATCATGGAACGCATGCATCGCATTAATGAAACCAAGGGTAATAACTCCAGTAATTACGGTCGGATAATGGCGGTTATCAAACTTGTCCGTGGTTTCATGGTAATTAACCTTGTTGTGAAGTTTGAAGTTAATCCGTTAATAATTACTCGAGATATCGAGCGGACACTGTTTCGGCAAGTCCATAAAGGGGCATAACTCCACAAATTATGGTCGGATAATGGCGGTTATCGAACTTGTCCGAGGTTTCATGGTAATTAACCTTGTTGTGAAGTTTGAAGTTAATCCGTTAATAATTACTCGAGATATCGAGCGGACACTGTTTCGGCAAGTAAAGGGGCATAACTCCAGAAATTATGGTCGGATAATGGCGGTTATCGAACTTGTCCGAGGTTTCATGGTAATTAACCTTGTTGTGAAGTTTGAAGTTAATCCGTTAATAATTACTCGAGATATCGAGCGGACATCGTTTGACCGCCCGCCCGCCCACGTGATAACATAATACGTCCCCGTCTTCGACGGGCATATAAAAATAATGTCAAGAATGAAATAATAAGTTCACATCACATTAATCATATCTTTTATTAAGGTGTGAATTATGCTTGAAACACAATAGCTATAAAGGTATGCAATGATATCTAGACACCTCCCTTTATCTAAAACTGCCCACCACCACTTTGCGTAGAACAGTGGTATAATTGATCAAGTATCATTGAAAAATGTAAATAAGTCATAAGTAATCGCACATATATATACAACAAGTAAAAGAGGACAATTTAAACCATGAAACTATTTGACAGCAAATGACATTCAAGGGGTCATGAATTGAAGTAATACACAAGACTTTACCAATGATTTCACTGCAGTATCGTAACCCCAAGCTAGATGAGGAAGAAAATGCCATACCCCAGTGTTCTAATACACAACAGTACTTTCTTCCATACATCTTTCGTTTTACATTTTTTAAACAAATAAAGTTGAAATTGTAATTGAACATGATGTACAATAATTACAACAAACAGCCATACACCAGTAATAACAAACAGTTGTAAGAATGTACCTTGAAAACTTCATAGACTTTTGAATATATTTTCATTTGGGGCCACTTGTCCATGTCTATGGGGTTAATGGCTGACAAAAACTCCTGAAATACACCTCTTGTCTCCCCCATCTCAGTAAGATCATCCTGGCTGACAGACCGGTTTATCCTGTCTTCCAGAAGAGGGTCCCGTTCTGACGCTGTGAAATACAAGTACAATGAATTACATGGGCCTTTGCCATTCTTATTTCTCTATAGAAGAGAAGTTTTTGTGTAACTTAAAGTGCAATAAATATCCTAGAAATAAAACACAATTTAAATAATTCATCACAAAAGATTTTGTTAACAGGTCAGGAAATAGCTCATATCCGAAAGACTTCAACTTTAGCTAAACACTTGCCATACTTTCTGAAAATTTCCAAGAAATCATATCACAAAAAAATGAAAAATTCTGAATATTTTACCTTTATCAAAAACATAATTTTTAGCTTTTTACATTGACTGAAAAAAAAAGAGTTTTACTCATGCTTAGTAAATGTTTTCATGGAAAGTTTCATAATTTGTGTTGCCTAGATAGCACATGCAATCACAAACACTCACAGAATACATGTACACTAGCTGCCTTTTATCATAAACGGAGAAGCATGTCTCTAAAACCCAGTAATAGCACCCAAAGGGCATGAAATACTGACTGAAGGGGACACGTGGTTATATTACGATACCGATAGTAAAAGATAGATTACATTAGTTGTTGTACAGGCAACCTAAATGTCCTGGGAGAATTCCGAAGTTGTCCTGTTTTCAGTCTAAAAATCTAGAAAACAGTCTTATCAGAGAAGGCTAAAATGGCCACGGTGGATGTTTGTAGCCAAGAGGTGCTTTAATATACTTGTATCATTCAATAAGTGCTGAAAAGCGGGGGAGACGCACTAGGAGTCGAACACTTATTACAGCTAATACAGCACAAACAAAAATAAACTGATACAAAAAACAATGAATAGCTCTGAATGCATGTGCAGTTGTATACATGTTCTTTTAACCTAGTTGGCTACTGTATTGTACACTGCCATGTTAGTATTACAAATAGATAATCTGAGAAGCCGTTAAATTGACTCATCACTAACTCACAATACTTAACAGTAGTTAATGCTCTCATTTGATTGTTTTATCTTTATAACTTTTTATCAAAGTCAAATCGTTAGTCAGAAAAATTATTAAAAAAAAAGTTTTAAAACATTTGTTTTCGTTTCTGTATCTACTAATGCCATGATTCTCTTTAACAAAAACTTTCCAAAATCAGAAAATCATAAGAACGAATGTCAGGGAAAACATCTCTTTAAGTGTAGATTTTTACATTACCAGTGATAATGAAACATTACCTGGCCCATTATGTTTGTTGGAAATTGTTTCATATGGATCATCGTCATCATCCTTTACCTCGCCATTGTGCACTAAAACACACACAAAAACTAAAATAAACAAAACACACACAAAAAACAAAATAAACAAACAACACAAAAAACAAAATAAACAAACAACGTTTGTGGAATTAACAGATTCATAAAAGAAAAACAAAACTTAATCGTCAAATTAAATCACCTTCACTGAAACCTACCTTCACTAACTATTTCTCACAGTGAATTAGAAAATTGTTGTTAAACCCAAGCTAGTGGTGTTTTTAAACAATTTCTATGAATAAATGATCCAGCAGACCACCTACTGGGAAGCTAACTACAGTACATATAACCCAACCTCCCTTAACTTGAAAACTTGAAACTTCATTGTGGGCAGTATACTTACTCTTCAGTGATATTTTCTACCAAGTTTAACATATTAAATGACAGCGATTGAATTTTCAGTGACCTTAACTGCCTGATACTACACACTAGATAGTTATTAGTTCTTTGTCCTATACATTCTACAAACTTTGCATGTATACACTGTGAACAGCAAGTATTGCTAAATAGCCAATTAACTATATAATATTAAATTTAAAAAAAAATCTAAAATAACAGAACTCGGTAGAGATCTAGAGTCCATTAACTTGTTGGTGTCGATATTGTTCCTATGTATATATAATGAAATTATCTTAAATATTTCAAAGACTTGTCTTATATTCCAGTATGTTTCTGTGGAGCTGTTTATGGTGACCATACGTATGATGAGCAGGTAGTGTTACAGCAGCCATCTAGATTCCAGAGGTTCAAAGTTCAAATCCTGGTCATACAACTGTTGCATTTTTCCTCTGAGGTCACAATTTCAATATTATTGCCTGCTTGGGATACACTTGTTAGAAAAGCTGGCACTTATATATTCTAACTAAAACATCCTTTGTTGATAACTGTACCTGCAGATTTTCCCTAAGTTGGAGGGAGACGCCCAATCTTTTACCCTGAAATTGAGCTTTTTCAACCCGTGAATTTGCTAAACTTTTCCTATTTTCTAAGATCTGATGAATTATTTGGAAAGAACGTAAAGCTCAAAAGAAGCCATTTAAAAGAGTTTTTTTCCCTAGGGTGTACAAACACACCTTTCATTTATGTTTTCAATTCTGAGCACACATAATCTCCCCCATGAAATTTCAAAAAGCTGGAAAGTATGCATGTCCAAATACTTACATGGAATAGACTTTTTGTACTTCTTATAAATGTAGCGTCCAAACACGACCACCAGCACATAGCAAGCATACATCAGGATAAAGCCTTCAAGTCAACAGAAATTCTCATCAGACACAGAGTTCATATGTTCTCACTTCAAATACAACATTAAATCAGTTTTACAGCGATTATCAAATTTTGTATAACAAATTATTAGATGTATACCATTGCCTCAAATGGAAAATCTTGATTTTTTTTTTCTATCGCGAGGTTCTTGATATTTTGGTATCCAGCTGTGACTGGTTGCAGTTTTACTTCAGGTTTCATTTTCATTAAGGATGCTAAATTGGCTGCAATTTTTGTTTTCAGCTTCAAAATAGATGGTCACTTGTCGCATAAGACAGATGGTCATTTAATGAATGGTGCTCATATAGTGAATTACACTGAGAAGGTTTTTCTTGGGTCAGAATTGTTAAGATCGCATATGACAGAAAGTCACTGAATACAGAGGGTTACTAAGGTAGCTTTGACAGTACTGAAAATATTAAAAAAGACATTCATTTTAATAAAGTATAAATTAAGATTACTGCATGATCAACAATAACATCTCACAGTTCCCTATAATCAAAATACATTTGAAAACAAGTTTTCATCTATTGGAAAATCAGAACTTCAATATTTTCTTTTGACTCATTCACCCCTAAAATTTCATAATTAACTTTTCCAACCTTTGCATCAGAAGTGTTTAAATGTGTTTTCAGGGGTGAATGAGTTAATTATCTTGTATACATACAACATGGATCATCCACATTCTCCTAAAAGGCAAAACAGATGATCACATACCTATAGACTCTATTTTTGTGATTTCCTTCTTCCACAGTATGGAGAAGCTCCAGAATGCAGCAGCAAGGTAGAATATCACATCCCTGAGAAATGGACGCTGCATGGCCTGGAACGGACAGATGACAGCAATGGATCCCGCAACAACGGTCGTCACAAACACACCAGCACCTGTAGGGTAGAAAGTGTTCACAACGATTTCTCTCACCTCTTACTGCATGGTCTCCTACCTGATTCTCAGTATGGTTTCTCTGTCAGTCCTAGGGTATGGTTTCTCTGTCACCCCTAGGGTATAGAATCTCAGTCACCCCTAGGGTATGGATTCTCAGTCACCCCTAGCGTATAGAATCTCAGTCACCCCTAGGGTATGGATTCTCCGTCACCCCTAGGGTATAGTTTCTCAGTCACCCCTAGGGTATGGTTTCTCTGTCACCCCTAGCGTATAGAATCTCAGTCACCCCTAGGGTATGGTTTCTCAGTCACCCCTAGGGTATACAATCTCAGTCACCCCTAGGCTATGGTTTCTCTGTCACCCCTATGAATTAGTTTCTCTGTCAACCCCTAGGGTATGGATTCTCTGTCAGTCCCTCGGGTATGGTTTCTCTGTCACCCCTAGGGTATGGATTATCTGTCACCCCTAGGGAAGGGTTTCTCCGTCACCCCTAGGGTATAGTTTCTCTGTCAGCCCCTAGGGTATGGTTTCTCTGTCACCCCTAGGGTATAGTTTCTCTGTCAGCCCCTAGGGTATGGTTTCTCTGTCACCCCTAGGGTATGGTTTCTCTGTCACCCCTAGGGTTTGGATTATCTGTCACCCCTAGGGTATGGATTATCTGTCACCTCTAGGGTATGGTTTCTCTGTCAGCCCCTAGAGAATGGTTTCTCTGTCACCCCTAGGGTATGGATTATCTGTCACCCCTAGGGTATGGTTTCTCTGTCAGCCCCTAGGGAATGGTTTCTCTGTCACCCCTAGGGTATGGATTATCTGTCACCCCTAGGGTATAGTTTCTCTGTCAGCCCCTAGGGTATGGATTCTATGTCACCTCCTAGGGTATGGTTTCTCTGTCACCCCTAGGGTATGGATTATCTGTCACCCCTAGGGAATGGTTTCTCTGTCACCCCTAGGGCATGGATTATCTGTCACCCCTAGGGTATGGTTTTTCTGTCACCCCTAGGGTATGGATTATCTGTCGCCCCTAGGGAATGGTTTCTCTGTCACCCCTAGGGTATGGATTATCTGTCGCCCCTAGGGAATGGTTTCTCTGTCACCCCTAGGGCATGGATTATCTGTCACCCCTAGGGTATGGATTATCTGTCCCCCCTAGGGTATGGTTTCTCTGTCAGCCCCTAGAGTATGGTTTCTCTGTCACCCCTAGGGCATGGATTATCTGTCACCCCTAGGGTATGGATTATCTGTCACCTCTAGGGTATGGTTTCTCTGTCAGCCCCTAGGGTATGGTTTCTCTGTCCCCCCTAGGGTATGGATTATCTGTCACCCCTAGGGAATGGTTTCTCTGCCACCTGTCACACCCTAGGATATGATGTCTCTGTCATGTCACCCTCTTGAGTACGAATGATTGCATGCAGTAAGAAACAATACAATGATGTCACGGGAACAATAAGATATGACATCATGACAGAAGAGGCCATGTTCAAATCAAACAGATTACATTTGCTGAAAATTCCAGTTTTTTATGATACTCATCCCCTACTGTACCTTAAGGATGGACCATGTAATCTCCAACCCTGGGGGAGATTATTTAATTGTCTAGCCTTGGCCTTGGCAGAGCCTCGGGTTAGACGATCAAATACATCGCCCCATGGATTGGAGATTTTACTGTCACACCCTCAAGATAGTGGAAGATTATATTATGAATAAAATGTTGTAAGAGTTATAAAGACTAAGTTCGTCACAAACAGGAATTGAAAAGTTTGAAAAGTTTTCAATTACTGTTTGTGTTCAAAACAAACTTAGTCTTTATTATTAATGCCAAACTGATGACTCTTATTCCGATTATAAGAGTTTATCACATATAGAATTTCTTGTTCACTGTGTAATTAAATACAGTACATGTAGCATACACACCAAACAGGGCTCCAATAGCTAATCCCGCATCCCCGTTCTTGGCATTACCGATGGCAGCGATGGCCGAGAAAATATCTGGAGCACCATTACCGAATGCAAGGAATGTAACACCCTACACATCAGTTAAGGAGTCTACATACAATTTCTTGCTGAAGTTTCATATATTCTGGCAAAAAAAATGAAATTTATTTTACTAATTTTGATTAATTTAATCTATTCATTTACTGTGTAAAACTTTTGTGATAACAAAGGTGGTTTTTTTTGGAACAAATGTTCTTCAATAAAGAGAAAATATCTGGAGCACCATTACCAAACGCAAGGAATGTAACACCCTTAATATTAGTTAAGGAGTCTACATACAATTTCATGTTTCATATATTCTGTCAAAAAAACCGAAATTCTTTTTACTAATTTTGATGAATTTAATTATTATAATCATTTACCAGGTAAAAGAATTGTGACAAAAAGGTGTTTTTTACAGAAATGATCAATTAATGATATTTAAGTACATGTACATATCAATTAATGATATTGAAGTACCTGCATAGTTAACTTTGAAAGGCTATCAGAATGAACAATACATGCAACTTTATATGTCCAAGATCACCCAGACAATATTAGATCATGTATTTTATCAATCAAGCAAACACAAGCATGCGTCGCTTTTGCTGTCAGGATTTGATTACATTTATAACAACTTGACATTAAAATACCATTAATTCCAATTAAACTTGACCCTGTAATCCCAGTATAACCTCATTATACTGCCACAATTATACAGCCACCGTTGGCATTATGAGGAAGTTTGGTGATATATTGAGGGAGACATGTGAAGCAGGGAATCATGCAAGGAAATAGGGAAAATGATCACTGTAATATATGGACATTAAAACAAAATTGAGATGGCAAATGAACTGAGAAGGATTGTTTCAATATTTTACTGTATTTATCCTGAATGAGGCATTTTATAAGATTTTCCTGCATACAGAAGATATTACTGGAAAAGTATGATTTTTTTTCAGTGTAGAAATGCTTACATTTCTCAGAAAGAGTAAATTAGCACCAAAATATATCCACATGTAGATACATATTTACAGATAAATTGCTCCAAGTATAAAAGGATACAGCTACATTATGACTGAGGTGCATGGTCTCCGAGATCACTGATAAGGCTGGGCAGAAGCTGAAGCAAATCAATACAATGACATGAATTCAAACTACACAGTCAAAGCAACAACATGATCAATCCTTCTGATGAGTTGCCATGGTTTAGGGGATGTTAGTCATGCACAAGATGAAGTCAAACGATCGTTTAATTAGGTTTTCAGATGCATGAAAAGAATAATATTGATCACCCGAAACATGAAAGATATGATAGAGGAAATACAGTTAAGTGATATGTTGATAGATACACTGGTAATCCAGTTGCTGAATACACTGGACACACCTAAAATCCTACACGGCTTTAAACTTGTTTTCTGACTTCTCAAGTACTTAAATTACACCAGTATATATGCCATCAACAATACATCTAGTCTTTAATATACAAATAAACATTGTACTTCAGTTTTTTNCCCCCCCGACCTCCAAAATTTACTCAAAAAGAATATGTTTATAAGTTTATAATTATTTAATTAATGACAACAATGATAAATTTCACAAATACATTTGTTTATATGCTTCAAAAGTATGTTCTGACGTATCATTTTCACTTGTAGTTGTTTGCAATAGATCTAGATAACTGCCATCAATAATAATGAAATCAAGGTAAATGTTTATTCAGCAGGGAAGTTCAAAGGTTGAATCTTAAAGTATGTTGTAATGAATAATGTTATGGATACTATTTTATAAACTAGGATGATAGGGCATTAAAAGCGGAAATTTTATATTCATATTCTGAGGGGAAATGCACTCATAAAAGTCTAAAAAAATAAATAGCTTAGCTAAATCCCAGCCATTTTATCCTTGTTAAATTAAGATTGGTACCCGGTGCTGATGAGTTACTTACAAATCATCAGCGGTAACAGCCAGGCCTGTAAACAGGAATACCCACCACAGGAACTGAAACACACAAGCTAATGCTTTAGACAGAAACACTGCTCATGGATTAGTATTTTCTTGATAACTGACCATGATTGTTTTGATATCACAGCATACTTCGAATTACACCTTTTACATGACATCTAATCTTAAAAGCTTCATTATGATCCTTATCTATGGGATCTGTTTTTGTCCTTGGATCCTAGTAAAGACAATTACATCACACAATAACAGTAAAGTTATTATAAATTTTTCTCTAATTAAACACCAGAAAAGTCCTGCATCACAGCCAGAAAAGATTACGAAATGTTATAAATATGGCAATCCCTCATGTTTTGAATTATGTTCCATTTCAAATATAAAGTGATCTTAGCAGAACACTCAGAACACCTTTGGTGTTATTAACACTCAGAACACCTTTGGTGTTATTATTGAGTTCAAGGATGAAAACAACATTCAGATAACACAATGAAGCAAGAACATACAACTTTGTAATGCTAAATTAAGTATTCATTACAATATCAATGGGCCGTCAGGTAGCACAGTGGATAGCCCACCAGCCTCTCACCAAGGCGACAAGGATTCAATTCATGATAGGAGGTGGAAAGGTATTGGGTCACTTGCCCAACCACATGGGTTTTCTCCGGATATTCCAGTTTCCTCCCACATTAAGAACCCCGCGCGCTAACATCCGGGCCGGCAAGAGTGATTCATATACGTTAATATACGTTGAAATAATTTCTTTCAAAGTTGTTGAAAAATAAATAAAGCTTATAATATTCACATAGAATATCAATGTGCAGATCCACTTGGAGCTGGTGGAATTACCAATTATCAACAATGTATATCCTAGTTTGAAATCACATCTCCTTTTAAATATTTTGATAGAGGTAAATCCACTCAATAAAAAAAAAAAAGGTGAAGGTCAGTTAATTCTGACTACATTGTATTTATATCCAATCTTTCTTGTATGTTTTGCAGATTTGAAAAGCACAAATCTCCTGGTTGATTTATTATTATCCTATTATCTTATATCTTTTTCCTTTCTAAAGCTGGAACGTACTTGTAACACCTAAGGATCCTTGTCCCGCTGTACTGTGCTTCTCCTATATTACCTCCCCTTAACTTCTCCTATATTACCTCCCCTTAACTTCTCCTATATTACCTCCCCTTAACTTCTCCTATATTACCTCCCCTTAACTTCTCCTATATTACCTCCCCTTAACTTCTCCTATATTACCTCCCCTTAACTTCTCCTATATTACCTCCCCTTAACTTCTCCTATATTACCTCCCCTTAACTTCTCCTATATTACCTCCCCTTAACTTCTCCTATATTACCTCCCCTTAACTTCTCCTATATTACCTCCCCTTAACTTCTGCTAGGATATAACTGTAGCACGTCAGAAATCTTTCATAAAATTATAAAAAAGTATTTGTTTTGAATATTTGTCACTCTAGTCTAATACTGACCAGAATGATCGTGCCCAATATTTGTCCCACTAATACAGACCAGAATGATCATGCCCAATATTTGTCCCACTAATACTGACCAGAATGATCATGCCCAATTTTTGTCCCTCTAATACTGACCAGAATGATCATGCCCAATATTTGTAGATGTCCTCCGGACCCAAAGTCGCAGTACACAAACTGTGTGTAGTCAAGGAAACCTTCATCAATCTGACAGTCATCAGTCTGCTTCACAAAGTCACACCTCTTGTCCTTGTCCTCGTTCAAAACTTCTCTGCACTAAAACATAAAATCAGTTGTTTAACATATAAATGTAAAAATTACAGTAAAACACTTATTAGATTGCATTGACCTACAGCTAACATGAGGAAATTTCCATAATTATATAACAGGTCTTAAATCTTTTTTTTTTTAGAAATGGTGAATATCTCTACAATTCTAGACTTCATGTAAACTGTCAAGGTTTATTCCAAAAGCTATAACTGTAACCAAGGACATTTTCAAATATGAAACAGGTGGTCAAGAAGCAACAAATGCTTAAAACAGACCGAGGATCAGGTAAATCAGGCACATTATGGACAATTTATTGGGCCTGATTATCTCTTCTGTCTGGATGAGCTGTTTGAAATGCAAAAATAATAATACATACATGTGTATTCAGTATATGTAAACTTTCTAATAATAATATACAACATTTGATAAAGCGCCCTATCTAGCTAACATAAGCCACTCTAAAGCGCTTTACAGTACATAGATATACATTAATACAATTAGCATATACATTAATTAATTCAATTTTGAGGAATTCTCAGGAGCTGCCTTATCAGGCGCTAACTATTAGTCCTATGCCACCTGTCTGAATATCTCCCTATGTGTGTATGCCTGCGTGTGTGCTGGAGATGTAACCGTTCTGTTTTGTAGTGGGACCGTGCTTCCGACGGCATCTTTTAAAGTGCCACCTCACTTGAATGCTACAGCACAGATACCGCAACATCCACCCCAGACCATTTTATACTCCGTCTGGGGTTCTTGGAGTTGTGTGGAAGGCCGAAGTGTTAACCACTCGACCAATTTGCCCATAATGTAAATTGGATACATAATATAACATCCATATTTTTGCTTATTTATAATTTGTACCATTTCTCTGTAACAGTTCAGAAACAAGAGACCAATGAGCCTTCATCTGTTTTTACTCATTGCTGTTGACAATCATATCTCATATCTGTGAGCTTGAGATAGCATAGGGATCAGAGTAAGAAATATATCGACAGGCTAAGTGGTGTGTTATTACTTTACACCTCAGGATGTTGGAAGATTCTTACTTGTTTTACTCATGCAAACTTCAAAGTAGTTTAAAGGCATTTATACAAGCAAACTTGATAGCTTTAAAAGTTCAAAAAAATACATTGTATACTTCATTAAGCCAAATTAAATCTCATTACCCTCACTTCAGCATCTTTAATTGCTATATGTTCAGAAGTTGTTTAAAATGCTTTAAACACCTGCTACATGTATTAAAAAAAATGTAATTAAGTGTGTGACATGAGTGGGAAAATTGCTTCTCCTTGGCCAGACCAGTATTCAAACCTGGGACTTCTGAACTCTAACCAGTAGCGTTAACCAATCATTTGGCTACATGCATATGTACCTGGTCACCAACGATTAACCGAGTGATAATGTACATCCTCCCTTTTCCTAAGCCCTCAAAGTTAACTACTGCATTTTAAACAACCAAGGTTTGAGTAAAATGCCCCTTGCCAAGGTTTAAGCATACCGGTACCCTTTCCAAGCACACTCCCAGGAGTGCTAGTAACACTAACGCTAACATGCATCACTGGATAACAGGAGACTGGCAGATATTAAAAGCAATGAAGTCAGAACACTGCATTACTCGAACCCAGGACCGCTCATGTCAATTGATCTCCACTACACAAGCCTTTTAGATATTCAGAAGTTGTCAACGGTTTTAACAAATATACCTCAACATCGTCGTCGTCCCCTAGTTGTTGCGTGGCGTTCAATATCTCATGAACTTGGACCAAATCACGACCTGTTGTCAAGGTGCCCGATACAAGTTCCCCATCTTTCAGCCAGTGGAGCTTCCGCAAGACAACGGCAGGCGACCTCCTGGGTACATATTTGATAACTTGAGGAGTAGAAAACGTCTCCTTGTAAAAATAGTAGACCAGGAAGACACCCGCGAGGAGTAGAAGTCCAATAAACTTCCTCCCTCCCCTATCCGTGTCATGTTTGTGTGGCCTGGAGTCCATATTTGAGAGTGGTTGACTCCCAGTCCATGGATGATACAGCCTGTCCTGTGTCAGTTTGAAGCGTAACGCTGTATACAATATCAATATAGGTCATCTTATCCTTCAGATCTATATTGTGTATACAAACCACACATGATTATGGTATCTCTACATCACTGGTCTCTGGACCCGCTATGCTCGGAACTCGGGTACATGTCAGCCTTGTTTCGTTTTCGTCATATGTTAGAGTTATCCCCCTTTTCCCATTATCTTAAAACTCATTAGAATGTTGTCGTGAATATAAAGATTGTCATGTAGCTATAGGATGACGCTGATCAGAGACGTACATACATGCGGCTTTGTTGTCTCTTCTGCTCCATACACTCTGTATGTATTTTAGATTGTACTTTATAAGTTCTTATTCGGTAATTTTTTATATTTTGCTATATTAGCATATATATATATGGGGCAAAGAAGTAATTCCAACAGTGTTGGCAAGTTTAGGTTGTCAATTTTTCGGAGCGATCCGCTCCTTTTTCAAGACATAGTGAAACAGAACAGTTACATGTACATATACATCATATTACAAGAAGATAGAATTGATATACTATAATTGAAAATATAGCTATTATATAAAACCAATAGTCCCCTCTGCTAAATACAGCCGAAGGCAGCAATTACTGTTGGAATTACTTCTTTGCCCCATAAAATATTTTAAGTAATTCGTATCCTATGGACATACCTCCATTAGGATCCAGTGTTATATGGGATTTTACCGTCTATATTACTTCTTTCCCCCATAACTATATATGGGGATGTTGGAGATAAGAAACATGGTATATATATATATATATATATATATGGGGGAAAGAAGTAATTCCAACAGTGTGGACAAGTTTAGGTTGTCAAATTTTCGGAGCGATCCACATAGCTATATATATAGCTATGTGCTTTTAGTCACCCAAGAGTTTTGCATCATACCACGGACTCTAATTCCGTGATCATACAAACTAGTTTAGCAATATTAGTTTTATATCTTTGTTACCTTGCTGTGATAAAAAAAAAATGTTTTGTTCTAATAAAAGATCTTCAGAGCTAATGTTTCTGTTTTCATATATACGACTTTAAATAAAATGTCTTGAAAACTCCAACATGTAATCACCACGGACTCAATGTAGTCTGGATACATTGTAATACCACGGACTTCGATAACAGGCATTCCGTGGTAATACGTACACGTGGTATCAAAGAAAGCGTGCTTTAAATATTCGGGGTTTCCAATTTCTGACGATACTCTCCTACCCTGATTTCATTTGGAAAGATCCATTAGCATCTTCAATCAGTACGTGGTTCAATATATATGTGCACAGCAATGAAGTTGGATCAGATTTGCTAAAACCTATCCGGGTACCATATATTGACATCTTTTGATAAAACTGCTTCAATAATTGTTGCTTGGGAAACATAAGAGAATTAATAATAAGGTGTATAATTCCTCTGTACATGTTGTACGAAAATAGATCTGTGTACATATGTATGTTAAAAATATCAGCCATCTAACTTTATATATATATATATATATATATATATATATATATATATATATATATGAAAAATGATAAAAATGTAATACAAACCATATTGTGTTGTATACTTCAGAAAACGAACATGTTGTCAGGTTTAAAGATACCTATAGAACGGACTTTGATAGCTACAAATGTAATTTCGTGATTATAAATATCTAGATTAATAATAGTAAGTTTGTGGTAGTCGTGGGGAACAGATGCAGACGTCCCTTCCTTCATAATTTGCTTATATTCCATCATATCATTCTATTTTGTTCGCTTTTGTTGTCACAGAGGTCCCCTCATATTATATCTCGTGGAGTAATTCAAGACATTATGTATTCTGTTATATATACTTATAATTAGGCCTGAGGATATACATGTAGTATTATACAATGTATCATATTATAGTATATACAACGTACGTACCTGGGCCCGTATTCATGAAACCTTTCTCGTGCTCAAAACATGGATTCTGTGCTCAAATATACTTTCTTGCTGGCTTAAAATCAGTCACATGGTCAAAAGGTCAACTTTAAACACACAAAAAACGGTATTCAGACCCAAGAATCTCCAAAACTCTTCCAGATCATTGACAAATGTAATTTCGTATTAATTCATCACCAAAATAAGATATTTGACTTGAGCACAAAATTTGATTTTGAGCATGAGAACGGTTTCATAAATACAGGGCCTGTACTTAAAATATCTGATGACCATTTTTGTAGTTATGAAGATATAGAGTGTAATCTGAATCCACCGCCGACTATATAGCTAGAACAGATTTATTTTACGTGTCGAGGACGTCGATGTAACCAGGTCAAGATTCCTGGGACGCATTTTACTTTGAAAACTGGATGGTACACATATATTTATGTTGATGGTCAGTGCCAATGACTATCATGATGGTCTTTAAAACAGTTAAGATTTTACAGCTCCGCATTATGCATGATGGTTGTCTAGAAATGTTAAACATTTGAATTTCATTTAAATAGGATTAGAAAACTATTCGTCACTGTGTTATATACAATGATTATTTCCGTCGTTTAAGTTTTTGTTTTGTCTGCTCTCGTTTTTCGGATTATAACGACATCCCTTTGATTTTATCATTAATATTCCATTATAGAATACATGGTCATTATACAAATTAATTGCTATGCTTAAATTTCGAGGTTAAAATGCTTCTAATTGTAACACTTAAGTGTCAATTCAAGTTATTTTAAACACGTAATGAAAATCGATTTGGTGTGCTCAAAAATGCTTCCAATTAACACGAAAATGGCTCCTGAATTAAAAGGCCGTATCCAAAAGCCAAGAAGGCGAAACGGCTCTGCTGGTGAATAGACCATATCTAAAGGTCAAGAAAGGTATATGGCTCCTGATGAAGAGGCAATAATCAAAAACCAAGAAGATAAAACTCCTGAAGTAGAGGATACATTTTGTATATCAAAATGCCAAGGAGATGATCATGAAATGGCTCCAGATAAAGAGGCAACATTCAAAGTTCAAGATGATGAAATGGCTTCTGATAAGGAGGTTATATCAAAAGGTCAAGAAGATGAAATGTGAAGAAGAGGAAATTACTTCTTTCAAAGACATTAAAACTTAAGACAGCCGCATTGCGAAGAAAGCACCAGACAGTTAATCCAGAAACGGTTTTTTAGTACGTTCCAGAGACAATTTAAAGACGCTTCAGCGACCAACAGTCCAAACAGTATGTTGGTAATAACTGAGAATGTCAACCTTTCGAGGAACAAACGGGGTACACATTTCCTCTTCCTCTTCCGCCGGTCACAAAGAAACAGCATATATAACGACAGACGGGAGGCAACTTCTCGAAACCACATCCTTCAATGGTTGCTAACGACGAATCCAATGAGGGACATTAAAACGGACAAAGGCTGGTACAGGAGCTGGCACGTGCACGCGGTCTAATACTTCAGTTTTATAAAGAATGTCCAGTAGAAGGATGGATATCATCTGTCCGGTGATTAGACAAACACCACAATTTACACACAGCTCATCAGCTGACTGATCAAAATTCGTATCCAAACAAGTCTCTAACTAAAAGGAAAATAAAGAAATTTAGGTATAACCAAGTTCATTCGAAGAACCAAGTTCCTATGCTGATGATCTGTAAGTGTTACTAAGTATGAAGAATATGACGGCGTGTCTGCAGGATCAACAGTAACCGCTTCCATTTCTGAAAATGGTTGCTAGGGATACAAAAGATGAAATACTAAACTATCACCAAACAACATTTCCCTCATGATCAGGACATGTGTACAGTATTTTAGGACGACGCATCATAACTATTTGTCCAACGCAAAATTTGCAAAAATCATTTCGGCAACAAAACCAAGGAAGGCAACCGTTAGCTATATATAGCAGTTTGCAAACAGCTCAACCAGGTGTCAGGAAAACCCTTGAATCGCATACATTTGACTACGGACTTCATTTACTACATCGAGAGTTGAATTGAAAAATTATGACGAAAGCCAACAGGGCCGACAGTATCATGATGACAGAACAAGATTTTCTCAACATCCGCATTTTGTGGACACATAAATGGATGGGGAAATTAATGTTGGCAGACTCCAAGATTACAACTGTGAGACGCAGAGAAGGCCGAGGAAATTGTGGTGGAGAAAGTGACAAAGAACGACAGTGTGATGGAGGTCAGTGTTATATATGGCACCTCCATAAATTTTCAACAGGAACCATAAAACAACGTTTATACAACGTAGGGTCTCTTAATTGCAATTGGTCAAAGGACAAACTTATTTGGTCAAAATCCTTTTCATAGTACGAAGGTACATGTGGTTGAATTGTGCATAAACTGAAGGAAATACACAAGCGATTATATATCTTCACTTAAGATATAGAAATGCATAAATATCATTTGAGACCGCTCCCCGTGGGGGAGATGTACGGTCCAAGGCGCAACGCTGCTGTGCCTGCAGTTTGCGATGGATGTTTTGCCGACCCTCAGGCAGGCGTGGCTCCGGGAGGGATGCCGCCTGACCTAACGATAGCGATACACGACCGGATTCCTGTACAATAAAATCGTCATTTATCAGGGGAGGTATCACAGTTGATCTATTTACGTGCCTTGGGGAAATACAATCCATGACGATCTTGGTAAAAGTCGCAACTTTGGATAAGGCATCGGCCCTGTGTACTATACAACGTTAGGTTCGTTATTCCAGAATGCTAGTGGTAAAATATCATTTCCTTTGGCTTCCAGAGATTCAGAAGGTTATGTTTACCTATTTGAAACTTGACCCCTGTGACGTTGAAAGTAGGTCAAGGTCATTTGTTATGAAACTTTGTACTTCACCATCCCAGTATGCTATTGGCCAACTATCAGCACTCTGGTATTCTTCGTTATAAGGAAGTAGTTGTTTAAAGGTTTTTACACATTTGACCCATATGACCTTAAAAGTAGGTCAAGGTCATTTGCTTGAACCTACAGACAAATTCTATTGAATCAGGGAAAAGCTTCACTTATAAATCACTTCACATTATTATGGCCTGATGTGCTTATGATATACTATATACATATTTTGTTACATGTGATAGGGTGCACAACACCAATTTTTTGGGGAATATTTGGGTTTCACTTTGAATTAAAAAAACTGAAATTAGAATGTGCAATCCTCTTCATTTTGTGTGTGAATGTACCATGTTACATTTCAATAAATGGGAGTTATGCAAAGATCTGATATGAATTATATAATTGTATTGTGGACATTTAAATGTTTTAATGTTAATCAACATTTTTTGGCTACACTACTCTTTAAAAACATAATAAATCAATTAAATTCTCAAAAATGAAGAAACAGAAAGCATAATTTAATAACTGATTCTTGTACTTTTTGTTTCTCAAGTAACATACAATGTATAGTGTCAATACGAAATGTACTATTTTGAGATAATGTGGTTTATTTTTTATTGGAGAAAATGTGACATGTCACTGTTTATATGTAGACAAAGTAAAAACAAAATCACATCAACAATTTATTGTGATTAATATATTATAATCAATTTAACAATACTAGTTCCTTAGAAACAACACATCAGTTAGGTCCTTGTCGCATCATAAAACACTACTGGCGTGGAGCCTTTGACAGCAGCATTATGGACTTCCTTCTTTGGGACATCAATCATGTCTCCAGGCTCCAAAGTAACCGTCTGGCCATACATACAGAATTGAAATCTCCCAGTCACTATAGAGTCTTTCTTAGTCCAGTTGTGGGAGTGGTCAGGAAATACCATTCCTGGTGGGAATTCATAGCGTGTAAAACTGTAACCCTTCAGCTTTAGTTTCCTCTCCATAGATTGCTCACATAGTCTACCATCTACTTCCTCATCCCACTTTTCAACCTTCAGCTCCCTTGATATGCTCATTATCTGCAGGAAAAAAATAAAGTATATAAATGTGATCATCACTTTTTGCCTGATGCTTTAACAAAGTATTATTTCAAAGTAATATATTTGACAGAATTACCCAATAACACTGTTTAAATGTCATTATCATACATGTGTTATGAAGCATGAAACTGAAGAAAATAGCACAATTTTACCATCTTTTTTATCTTATAAAAAATCATTTAAGGAACTTTAGCTTTTTATTTGTAAAACCTATACACAAGACACACTGTACATTTCAAAATACAGAGAATTAAGATATTTTCAAACTAGAAATGTGTCTGAAAATATATGGATGCTACACTACAAAAGATAAATTAAAGGTCACCGAAGTCAATTGCAAGGTCACAAAAATGTCATGCACCATTTGTTCTACTCATAAAAGCACATAAGCTTGTGATTTAAAAAGTTGTGTGTCCCTATAGCTTCAGAACTTGATTCTTAACTGATCTAAACACAAAAAATAAAGAAAAGTCCCAATTAGATCAAGATCAAAGGTCAAGGTATCAAAAAGTTACATAAATACAACATGTTCTGCTTGTAAAATAATAGTTAAAACAAAATAATCTTGAATATGTTTACTGTAACAAGAAATCAGAGAATTGTGACAGGGATTGAACCAGTGACCCACATGTGTATCTTCCCAATCTGGCGGGCTGCTTTGCAGATTGTGCTAAAGGGAAAGCACAAATAGAATCGAACAAAAGTGTAAATGTGTGGCTGATTTTGATTGTACTGTAGCGGAACTGGACTGGGTTAATTGTTGGCAACCATGTAGCTCAATTGGTAGAGTGACCATCTTGAGTTCGGAGGGTCCTTGGTTCAAACCCTGGTCTGCTCATTGCATTTTTTCCCTTTATCTCAGTGGTAGAGCGTCCATTACTTAAAGAAGTCTGTGATAGCACTGGTTCAATTGCCAGTGGGAATTAGATGTGTTTGATCATGATTAGGTTGAGAATTTCTGTAGAGAATTTCCCTTTAGCTCAGCGGTAGAGCAGCAGGCTGAGAGCCAAAAAGGGTCGCGGGTTCGGGCCCTAGCGGCGGCACTTGATCTTTATCATTATTCTTTGATGTCCTACTACATTTGTAACATCTGCTTCAACACGCCAGATCAAACCCGAGTCTACTGCTGTTACTGACTGAGCTAAAGTTTCTTCAAAAGTCATAGTTTACATACCTGCATGGTAAATGTTCTTGATACATATGCACCTCATTACCAAACTGTTGCCGACTGTTGTTTGAAGTTTTTAACATATTTGACCCGAGTGACCTTTAAACTAGGTCAAGGTCATATTAATGAAAAAACTTTATAGCACTCCATCCCAGGTACCTATTGGCCAAATATCATTACCCTGGGATTTATCTTTTTTTAAATTATTTTCATGAAAAATTTTGATTCCACAAAAAATATAAGACAGTGAGCCTGGATGAATTTACCTGGTTACATGACAAAAACTGTCCAGTTGTGCAGAGGAAATCTAGTCCATACGAAAACACACGTAGTACTACAATGCGAATTTTGTTGTGGCCGTTTTCCTTTAAACGGTTGAACCGATCGGACCACAGTTGTTCGTTCATTAAATAAGGTCGGATCTAGTAATCTGATGCTACTTTCAGTCGAGCCTTGACAAAGCCTTGCGATTCCTGCATAAAGATTTGCAGGTCCGCCAACATTTATATCCGAAAATTCAAATTGTTCATTTATAAGCGGACAAACCGGTCGGACCAGATAAACGAACAGGCCCTTTTAAGGACATCATAAAAGAGAAAACAGCTACATTTTGTATATCCGGGTATATCTACACCAGAAAGACGTTTCGCAATCTGTGATCGGATAATTAAAGTTCAACACTCTCCTGGAATATAATGTTTAAATTCCGTAATCATTTTGAAATTGTAAAACGTGATCATTGCGTTTTCGGATAATAGACCTTTACGAATTAAACTAAAGTTCCGGATTGTTTGTCAGAAAAGTAGGTTCCGTTTTGTTTGTTAGACAGTTCCAAGAGACCATCCAGTATGGCTGCGCCTATGAAAGACCACGAGAAGGCCGGGTTTGTGAGTCTAGCCGATACTTAAGCTGTTGAATACAATGTAGCTTGCCAACAGTAGTAGGTACTGCCACTACGTCGACCAAATTTGCTTGAGATATACGACGATGTTGAAATAGGTGAGACCTAGCTAACGTTAGTGAAAATAATAATATATTGTAATAGGGGGAGGTCCGGAGAGGGTTTTGCATCCGTTGTCACTCCGTTAAATCCGTTTCGTGATCGTATAGATTTTAGCAATGGTAACGAGTCGACAACTTCCCCTGCAGTCCTCTCTAGACCTCGCCTCTTTCGTCAGGTTACAGACCTGTTTTCACTACAGGTTCGATCGCTGGATGTAGTGGTAATACCAGCCATTGATTCAATAACTCAACAATGGGTATAAAATACAAGTAACTGTTTATTAACAAGACGGAATGATTATGTACAACAAGTTAAACAAATACAAAGCATAGCATTAGTGCCAAACAATGACAACTAATGTTAAGAAACCCAATCCCTACGTTGAGTAATGACCTATCCTACCTAACAGCGCTACCAGTAGACTACGACCACGTGCTCCTAGCTCCCTATAGATCTACAGCGAACCACCATGTATCGATGTCTAAGCCCGAAGCCCCTGACTATCCCTTAATACATGTACTGTAGTTCCTATAGCACTCTATATATCCCAGGAACGATAACTTCATGTAGTCCTACGGTATTGGTACTGTTAGCAGCACCTCGGCCCATGTTTTGCACTGTTAACAGCGCATGAGGCGGTAATGTTCTCCTCACCAGGAGAAGTGGGTCGGCTCACCGACCCTGTCAAGACACTGAGCAACTCAAGAACATGATCATTTATAGCCCCCTCCATTAGTTCCGCTTTTACGATTGGCCAAACCGTTAATGCAGAGTAAAGTAAGAGATGAAGCCAAACTTCCGGTCTCTACTTCCGTTTCCTATCTCGTAAGGCACAACTAACCGATAACTTGCTAGATATGGGCGCGTCTAATTACCCAATACTACCCAATACCACCCAATACTACCCAAAACCACCCAATACTACCCAATACTACCCCATACGATCCAGTTATGAACCAAATACTTCTTTATTACTGTGAAATATCACCTTTGTAGACGTTATTTACTTCCATCTGCCATATTTTATCGGGAAATATGCGATTTGGTGCCGAAAACATCACCGAA